ACTCAAAATCTCATTGGTTGGGACAACTTCCTGAGAGGACGTTTGTCCACGCACTGGGCTAAGCATCAAGATGCATATCTGCATCGGGTCGGCTCCCAGGAGACAACCAAGACAGGGCAGCTCTGGGTCACCAACCTAGCCTCACTGCTCATCCAGCAGTGGTGGAACCTGTGGGAGGATCGAAATGCTGCCAGGCATGGCAAAGACAGGGAAGACCAGTGGAAGAAGAAGCACGAACAGCTTCAGCGGGAGGTGGAACTCATTTACGAGAAAGCGGATCTGATCCCAGTGGAGCTGGTGGACTTTATCTTCAAGCGACCACTTGACGAGCAAATGGCAAAGGGCCCAGGCGACATCAAAGCGTGGCTTGCCAATTGGCTGCCCGTCGTCGACAAGGCACTCAGGGACGAGCATGCACGCACAATGCAGAACAATGACACAGGGTAACTACGCACAGAAGGGGTCCTGCCGTAGAAATAGATGGCAATCCAGTCAAAGGTAGTTCGTTAGCTGCAAAGCACCCTCCGGAGTTTTTAAACTTCTCCGGTGGGGGGCTTGCACTAGGCCGGTTCCTATGTGGGCGTCCTTGTACGTCTGAGGTACTCCGGTTCAATATGGCTCCGTTCAGCGGGTGGTCTATTGAGGTGCAGCCTAAATAATAAAACTTCGTTATTTTATGTATTACGAATGATGTTATAAGATTATGAGGAAAAGCTACTTTGTTGTCTCTGGATATCTGTAGATGAGTGGAGGCTAGATTCCGGTTGACGGTGGACGGTCAGACGGCCGGAATCAGCACTTAGTATCACAACTAATGCTACACAGAACCAGCACCGCTTAGCATACATATACATGAAGTTACTACAGTAGTTACCTCACTTAACTAACACATAAAATGGGAGATAGCCAGCAGCAAAGACTTCACTATGATTCAATCATTAGACAACTATGTACTCCTACACTGTGACCAGCACCGCTTAGCATACACATAGTTACTAGTTACCTCACTACTTGTCTTACGCATTATGGTAGATAGCCATCAGCACAGACTTCACCTATGATTCAATCATTAGGGTTGGCCCGACTGCTAGCTGCGGCAAGCTTTACTCTCTGGACGACTCCCAAGGTCGTTTGCCACGCCACTCCTCCACGGGATCCGCTGAAGGGAAATCAGCATCGCTTAGCATACACATAGTTTTTATACTACCGGTAGATACCTCATTACATAATGATAGATCTGATAGCCAGCAGCAAAGATGTCACCTATGATTGATTCAATCACTAGGGTTGGCCCGACTGCTACTCTTTAGAGGACTCCCAAGGTCGTTTGCCAGGCGACTCTTCCACGGGATGCGATGTACCAGGGGCTCGATCCGGCGACGACGAAACAGGTCCCGTAGCCGTGTTGCTGGCAACCGCCTTGATATGCTCTGCCAGGGCATCTTCATAGGTCTTGAGCTTGGTTTCACTAATGTACAAACGCAGCTGCAGTGCTTGCTGTCGTTCCTCCGCCTGTTCTCTTTCTTTGAATAGCTCGCGAGCATGCTCTTCTTTCTGCGTCTGAAAGTGCCGTTCACTCATGGCCAAAGCCTCTTCTAACTGACCAACTCGATCCTGGAGTTGCTCCAATAGATTTAAAATCTTGTTATTGTCGGATTCGTCCTTGCTGTCCAGGACCTCTTCAGCAACGCCAGATAGCTCCGAGACGCTCTGTTTGACCACTGGTGGCTGGACCGGTTCTGTTTCCATCTCAACTTCCATTTCCAGCTGCTTTGGAGTTGTATGTTCCACTTCGACTGAATCTCTTTGCTGCTGCTCTTCTTGGTCATCAATTTCTGATTGTTGCTTTGCTTCTTCTGCTCCCTCGACCTTTTGTATCTCCTCATCTTCAACATCGTCAGTTTGCTGTCTCGCTTCCTCCTCGCCTTCCCTTTGCTGTTCTTCCTTGTCGTCCTCATCCACGTCAATGCGCTGTTTCTCATTATGCTCCTCTTCGTCCACTTCTACGATTGGTTCGATTGGTTGTTGGTCTTCCTCCTCTTCCTTCTTTTCTTCTACCAACGTGACTTCTACTTTGGGTTCCTCCACAAATGACGCCTC